GAACGGCATAGCAGTTTCGATTTATATTGTAATTGCATGATATGAAACATCCAGCATACTTTTCGTATTTTCAATTTCAAATATTTCTGATCTTTCTTTTAGTTCAACAATTTCACTTAGTTAATGTCAATTTCGTCTTAAATACAATCTAATATCGAAGAAATTGCTTAGAATCGTAAAACATTTTATGTTTATGTAATTCAAATATATACTGTTTTTGACGGAAATTTCAACGAGTAATTGATAAAATTTAAACATATATGAACACAGTACGGCTTCTTTTATTGGAAATTATTAAAAGTAATTTGTAACGTGACATTGTGCAACGCCAAGCGTCTAGCAATTGTGGCAACGTTGCTCTTCTCACCATGTACAAAATGGCCGTCCGTTTCTCGAATATTCAGATACCGCCACGTGGACGTTAATACAGACACCTGCTGCTTTCTTAATAAAAGAACAGCAAAAGTCGCGAAACTTATCTATCGTTAACCAAGAATTAGCGTTTTTAAACAAAATTTTCTTCAAATCTAGAAGAATATTGTTTGAAAAGTTTTAATCATAAAATGAAAATACCCGCACGTGATTTCGATTTAAAATAAATTTTAAACGTTTTGTGTTTAACGTTTTATTTGCATTTTTTTTTTAATTTATTGCTGTATACAGTTTTATTTCAGAGTTAATCAACAAAGTTTTATCAAAACTTCACAATGGGAAAAGAGAAGATTCATATTAACATTGTTGTCATTGGACACGTCGATTCTGGAAAATCAACTACCACTGGTCATTTAATCTACAAATGCGGTGGTATTGATAAACGTACAATTGAGAAATTCGAGAAGGAAGCTCAGGAAGTAAGTAACGATGCAGTTACATTTCTAAAGAAATAGGTTATATTATTATTAGTTGCAAAAATTTGGCGAAACTTTGTCACTGGTAATTTATGTTACCTTGGCACAGTGATGAATATCCTTTTTTTTAACATTTAAAACATTTTTAAATATATTATATATTTTATATATATATATATTTATGTATAATAATGTGATGGAAAAAATTTTTAGATGGGCAAAGGTTCCTTCAAATATGCCTGGGTATTGGACAAACTAAAGGCTGAACGTGAACGTGGTATTACCATTGATATTGCCCTGTGGAAGTTTGAAACTTCCAAATATTATGTTACTATTATTGATGCTCCTGGACACAGAGATTTTATCAAGAACATGATTACTGGTACCTCTCAAGCTGATTGTGCCGTACTGATTGTTGCTGCTGGTACCGGTGAATTTGAAGCTGGTATTTCAAAGAATGGACAAACCCGTGAGCATGCTCTGCTCGCTTTTACTCTTGGTGTAAAACAGCTGATTGTTGGTGTTAACAAGATGGACTCCACTGAACCACCATACTCTGAGACCCGATTTGAGGAAATTAAGAAAGAAGTGTCATCTTACATTAAGAAAATTGGTTACAATCCAGCTGCTGTCGCATTCGTGCCAATTTCTGGTTGGCATGGGGATAATATGTTGGAAGTCTCTGCAAAAATGCCTTGGTTCAAGGGATGGACTGTCGAACGCAAGGAAGGCAAAGTTGAAGGAAAATGCCTTATTGAAGCGCTTGACGCCATTCTTCCGCCAACAAGACCTACAGACAAGGCCCTCCGTCTTCCTCTTCAAGTAAGTTTCTAACCCAAGTCAGTTCATTTCTATTTTTGTTACTTGATGATAACATTATATTTTGTTATTATGATGATAACATTAATATCACATTCGCGGTTTCCACCGGAGAATTTTGTAGTTCAATGATGGACAGTGACGTCTGATTAAAATTAATTCTTTGAAAATTGTTTTTGTTTTGAAAGGCCAGATGATAATATCACATGGTATGATTATAGGATGTATACAAAATTGGTGGTATTGGAACAGTACCAGTTGGTCGTGTTGAAACTGGTGTATTGAAACCAGGTATGGTTGTCACATTCGCACCTGCTGGTTTGACTACTGAAGTCAAGTCTGTCGAAATGCATCACGAAGCTTTGCAAGAGGCTGTTCCTGGTGACAATGTCGGTTTTAACGTCAAGAACGTATCGGTTAAAGAATTGCGCCGTGGTTATGTTGCTGGCGATTCAAAGAACAACCCACCTAAAGGTGCTGCTGATTTTACTGCACAGGTATATGTTTAATATAATATTAAAAACAAGAAGCAAATTTGAATAAATTATTCATTAACTGGCGAAATGATGAAAACTTATTAATTCAATTACATTCGTGGTTTCTTCGGAAAGTCTTTGAGACTTAGTGATGGTTAAAAGTGTCTGACTGCTATTTATATGAAATATTTTTATATGTATATTTATATTTATTTAATAATTCAAAACTGTTCTATATTTTTATTTTAGGTTATTGTGTTGAACCATCCCGGCCAAATCAGTAATGGATATACGCCAGTATTGGATTGTCATACTGCACATATTGCGTGTAAATTCGCTGATATCAAAGAAAAGTGCGACCGTCGTAATGGAAAGACCACTGAAGAAAATCCTAAATCTATCAAATCGGGAGATGCTGCCATTGTTATGCTCGTACCGAGCAAGCCTATGTGCGTCGAAGCTTTCCAAGAATTCCCGCCACTAGGTCGTTTTGCTGTTCGTGACATGCGTCAAACAGTAGCCGTTGGTGTTATTAAAGCTGTCAATTTCAAGGATGCTGCGGGCAAGGTCACCAAGGCTGCCGAGAAAGCCCAGAAAAAGAAATAACTAGTTTCCGTATATGTGTATCGCCAGATGGGCTTCGGCGTATAGTAGCTAAAATAGTTTACCTTCTTTTTTCACGTTCCTCGCACGAGAACAACGTTACGTTGTTCCCATTGGAGACTGTAATATTTTCTATGAAATCGCGATCAATAATTAAAGATAGTAGAATCGGTAAAGAATCGCGAAGACTGGCATTTTTTGTGCATGTAATTGCATCTTTGCCACATTTTTTTGATATTCGTATATTCCATTTATCGAAATGGTTACTTCGTCATTTTTCTCATCGTAAAGAATTTCGTAGGAAAGGTAAAAACAGTCAACAATGGTGTATGAAACCAATGTTCTCGTCTGTGAGTTCCATGAGAAAAGAAAGTAAACTATGAAAAGCTACTTATAACACCTGTTTCACAAGAACATTAACATCATAATTTAGCTCGGCTTAATTATATTTTCTAATTATTATACGGAAATAAATCCTATATCTGCGATATTTGAGAAACATCTCATTATTATTTTTTTGCCGCCGTTATTAATTAATCATAGTCATCCTTTTATCGTAAAATGCTTCATATTTCCGAATCTTTTTTCGTAAAATTTAATTAAAGAAATTAATGATTTTTAAAATTTTTCATAAGTCGGGATACATCGATACAAAAAAAATTGGGAGCGAGAAAAAGGAAAATTTAGTAGTTCCAGTATAAATTTGGTTGGGAGACGGGACCTGTTTTTTTATTACTTTCTGATTACCTGACTAGGTAAGGAATTGAACTGCTAAAAATATATACACAAACACTTTTCTACTATACATGTCTTTACAAAGATTTACCTTATCTTTTTACACGTTCTATATTAAAAAGAAGTATGTGCGGAAATATGATTGCTCCACAATGGTACAGCATTTTTAGCCGCGATTTTCCGATTAAAATTGGTTAACAACGGTTTTCTGTACATACATAGAGATAACAATAATGAATAAAAATAAAGGAGCTACAGAAACAATTTTATGTATTGTATATTCTATTACACCTTAATACCTTTAACCTGTGAAAATGTTCATATGTATTTTTTCTTACATATTAAAATAAGAAATTAATTATGACGTGATATATAAAATATTTACTTAGTAAAATTTAACTGATGTAATTCGATGTAACTTTATGTAACTTTATTTTCTGTAAGTGACACGTTTAATAGACCAAAGATTAAGTTACTCTTTCATTACAAAGTATATGACTATCTACTGATCTATTTTCATAAAATTAATTTAAAAATTTGTTTCTGATATGATTATCTTTTACAAATTTTCTTATTTATAAAATATAAATAATATGAATTAAATAAAAAATTAAATAAAATTCTTATGATTGTATATTCAATATATCATGTGGGTTTTATAAAGTTATGGCGAATTTCATAGACAACAGCTGTTGAGATAAACATGGCCGTCGTGAGGAATGGTTTGTTTATATTTTCGAATTTTCTTTCGAATAGCACAAATGTTGCAGCGTACGATGTAAGTAGAAACAATTTTTAAAATTTTTCCGCATATAATATTTATTGATTTGTTGATATATGGGTAGAAAACCATGTTGCTTATAGAATTTATTTTTCGTTCAGATTCAGCAAATACGTAACAAATATGTTGGTCGGTGGATGATTCGTGATCTTAAACGAAGAAAATTGGTAGAGAAATATGCAGAAGAACGATTACGACTGGTTGCTATGAAAAGAAATGATATTTTGCCATTAGAAATTCGGGTATGTCATGTACACTTTATATAACCTAAAAGTGCAATATAAGAAGTTTATGTGGAAAGATGATTTGATTATATTTTAGGAAGAAGCTGGTAAACAAATAGATGAAACAATTCCACGTCAGACAGCTTTAAGACAATTAACATCACGTTGTGTATTAACTTCTCGTCCACGGGGAGTTTTGCCTAAGTGGAGAATATCAAGAATCATGTTTAGAGATTCGGCTGATCATAATAGAATGAGTGGTGTACAACGTGCAATTTGGTAATAATTGTATACATACTTTGTATTAGTTTCGTTAAAAAAATAAATACAATATAATAAAGGCATCAGTCGAAGAGTATAAAAAAGGTTTATTGAATCTTTCTACAGTCTGACTATGTTAGTATTATTATCTTATTAAAAATTGGAATTCTTAATATAGTAAAAAACTTTTGTAGAAATATTCTTAAAAATTTTTTATGTAATAAATAGATTTAGTATGATTAAGTATTGTAATAATAGTACATATTGCAACTTATTTGTCCATGTCATGGTTTGCACAAAATATTGTATGATAAAGACATGTAGTTTATAAACAATTATAAAAAATTCAGGCTTCAGATAGACAGAAGAAGTGATGAAGAAATATTAAGTAAGTTTTTAGAAGTTCCTCTTGAAATACGCAATTATATTTAAATTTTGCAGGATTTAAATACATTTGTTTTATAGTTATTGTGGACTAAAATTACAGTTATATTTATTTCACATATGCAACATTAAATCTCATTCAATTATCTTCATTAAATCAAATTTTCATATGAATTTTATTCAAATATCTTCATTAAATCAAATTTCAAAGAATTTATAATTTAAAATACATGTTATCTGGATCTTTTTTCTTTTATAGTCAAATAATCCAACAAATTAAAGTAAAAGAAATATTATTGGGTATAGAGAATTCTATAAATATTGAATGCCTATACTGATCAGTTATCAGCTATATTTTACTCTATAGTTGATTTGTGCTAAGTAAGCGCGTGAGAAACTAGTAGTACAAGCGTTTATCAGATCAAACATGTATGGCGCAGGTCCGAGTTTCTAGTACACTTCTCCTGAATCAAGAAATTTTTTACAAGTTAGTCCACAGTGGTATACTCGTGCAGTGGATTCTCTTTTGTTCTTATTAAAAGTCGACCTGTTGCATTTGCTTTCTTCGTTTTTTGTAATGTACAACATTAAACATTAGAATTACAGATGGCTAATCTAGTGAGTATTCTATTTAAATTTCTTTAAAGTTAAATTTAAATATTTAAAAATATTAAATATTCAATTGTTTTTCGATATACCGTAAAATAATATTCCTTTAATATTATTTAGAAGTAACACGTATGTTTATTTTTTATTATATAGGTAGTTTTTATCTAAAATAAAACGCGTTGTTGTAAATGTATTGTAAAAATAAACAAATATTTATAAATTACTTAAAATGTTATTCCTGTTAAGCAAAATCTGCATATGTTTGAATAAGAAGATTTATTCTACGCGTTATTTTACAATACAAATTATTTTTTACGTAACATCTAAATTTGATAGATTTTATTTAAAATATTTCTTTGTATTGTAAAATGTATAAAGTAAATTGTTTTGTTTAAACATATGCAGATTTGTTTTTAGCATGAATTTTAGGTGATAGATGTTTATTTATTGTAAAAATAAATTCTATAAATAATAAATAATTAAAAAATTTAAGTACATTTGTTTTCAGTTTCATAATTTGATAATTGCAAAACAATAAGATACATTTGAAAGAAATTAATTTTAGTAATTTTTTGATTTTGTTGCACCATTATAATAAACAACTGAAATATTTTATTTAATATTTCAAAACTAATGTTTAATTTAATTAACGAATTAGAATGATTTATTAAAAAATAAACAATTAATTTACAAAGCACAAACGGCAATGTGAAATGTTTTTGTTAGATTTTCTTATATAAGAATAGTTTTACACTCATGAGAGTTTATTGTAATTCAGTAATACTATCAGCATTATTTTATTAATATTTGTTTCACATATATTTTTAACTTTCTATAAGCAATAATTATATAAAATATTAAACAGACTGAATAGTTGAAAACAGACTGAATAGTTGAAAATGAAAAATAATTGACATAAGTTTTGAAATTTAAAAATCATTAAATGCATTGTTGAAAATTATAAAATTATTTATTAAAGTGATTGAAAATTGTTTTTCTGACGCTATAATTAGCTTGGGACATTTTTCTGTTACGATTGTCTTAATATTATAACATTTTGTTAGTTCGTTTTAAGTAAAAAATCAACTGAATTTAGAAATTTCTATATCATTTTTATATATTAATATATTTTTGACTTGTATTAAACAGTACATACACTCGATGAAAAATTGTCGATATTCTAAACTGTTATCACTTTGATCGACAAAAAAAAATCGTATTTTGAAGAATTCTCGTAAAGAGAAGACTTTAAGACTATGATAGATTTGTTTATGAGAAAAATTTTTCATATTTTGTTGAAGACATTTGGATTGACATTTGGCAAAATTTGTCAGAGAAAAATATTTTTATATCATTTTCGAAGGAATAAATAAAGACGTTAAGTAACTCAGAATTGCTTTTATAAATAGAGAATATAAATATAGAATATAAAATAAAAGATAGTATAACTAGCTAGTAATAATTTTTCTATAAATGGAATATTTCTGAAAACATTAAGATCATTTGTATTATATCATGAGGAATATATTTTTTTATATCATACATATGTGAGTATTGTGTTACATGTGAATATTTATGCTATTTCAACGACTTTCACTGCAAGGTTACTCGGCCATAAATAGAGGAATAAAACAGTGAGCTTTATGTCACTAAGAAATAAACTGAAAATTCTACAATACTTCTTTGTCTTATGGTGTTAGTTGTTTTTGGCACACAATTTTAATGTATCCTGCAGATTTCAACTTAAATGTTATGTGAATTATTGAATTGTGAGTTTAATGTATAGTCCTGCAAAATCTAACTCACAATCAGTGAATTGAAATTTATTATAAATATTTATTATCGCTAAAAAGAATTATTATCGACATTAAATGGTCCTCTATAGCATAACATTTTTTTTTTTTTTTATATTTTTAAAGTAACAATGATTAAAGTTATTGGAGACACTCTTTATATGTTCGTTTTTTTAGGTTTCTATTTTTGTCTTTACCTGTATCGATATAAATCTAATGTCATCGTACTTATTTGAGAAAGCGTAAGTAATTCAGAAACTTAGATTACATCGATAAAATACGTAAATATCAGTTATCTATTCCCACCCTAAAAAAAGAATGTACCTCTTATCGTTTCTTTTATGTCTGTACAACAATTTTATACTAGTTATATGTATACGTTGGGAAAATTAATATAGTGGATTTAGAAAATATTTCTGTCAAACTCGATTCAAAATTATATTGTGATTAAAGATAAATTTTCCTATTATTTAAATTTTCTCAAATATTTTACTCGCGAAATTAAATTCCTCGCACATTTTATAAACTTTAGGCCAATTGTTTGCCCTTCAATTAATCAACATTATATAATACGTAATAATAATGTCAATTAAAAGATAAATAACGAATTTACTAATAGTCATTTATAATTAATTCGAAACAATTACAATGTCTGGAAGTTACGTGTATTCGTTTCTGTCTCTTTTAATCCAATTATATATATATATATATATATTCTGATAAAAAATCCTTTTAAAAAAAAGAAAGGACAAAACATGTAAGGATAAGAAAATAAATATAAATATAGTCGGCAATTAACCAGTCTGTTAAAACAAGCTGTTTCGTATCCTAAATAAACACGGGTCACTTTCTTCCTGGAATATAATGCATCATTAGGATAGGTCGCTCTCGGGGTGTGCGTCATCGCGTAGAATGTCCACAATGCTTGATAATTAAATTGGAACCGAGTCCTGTGAACCATGTCAGTTTCTCTAAAAACCTATTGAAATTTGTCGCGTGTCTTGTTGACGTTACTCACGACTCAACCTGATGTAACTCTACTGATTTGAAAAACGAGATGTTAGTTCGTATTTCTGAAGCTACGAAATGTAGCTTTGTCAAGGCGATACAGCGTGAAATATTGGCGCGGTTAACGGTTAGATCGATGAAGTACGATAGTAATGACGTAGATTGCAGAGTATTATTTATTACCTGTTCGCTTTTCTTTTTTAGAAATGGTATCATTTATCTTGACGGAAGAGGAAATTTGAATCTTTCGTTTAGCTGTGTACAAAAGGGGAATTTTTATTGAATGAGGAAACAAAAATATGCTTCATTCTGGAAACTACCAAAATGATAAAAATTGACCAGTTCGTAATTTTCCACAGAAATTTTATATATTTATATAAGAGTATATTTTTGAAAACTTGAATAATTTTTAGTAAAATATAATAGTAATATATAAATGGAAACTGTGTACTCTAGATTAAATTTTTTTCTGTTTTGTGCATTTTAATTTTTCTGCCACGAAATTTATACTTTAGTCGTCGATAGTTCTAAGCGATAATTTAACCCTCGATTTTTCTAAAATGTATAATGTGTATAATGTGATGAAATATTATACCATAATATACTATAATATAATATAATATTAATTTTAGATATTTTCCAACATATATTATCAACATATATTTCTCTTGATAGACAGTACATTGCCTTCTAATTATTATTTTATTATACTACAATTAAGTATTGTATACTACAAAAAGTTATGAAATTCTTAAATTTATTTTGAATAACAGTTTAAAACTATTTTGTTACAAGTTTTTTTTTTATTACAGAAGTTGATATGTATAAAATAATTTATTTGTATAATATGAAAAATATAACATATTTGTTTATAGCATCTGTATGTAAAAAATATGAAAAAGCTTTCATTAATGATGTTATAAGTCAACTACAATATCCAGATTCTAAATATGCAGACTAATTTGTTGAAATAAAGTCGTCGAATAAAATATTATTCATATAATATTACTAGAACAGAATACTATTCAGTAGAAACTATACAAACTATACGAATTGATAATAATAAAAATTTAATAAATTTTAATAAAAATAATTCTCATCAACAGAAATGATCCTTGCTAAATTTCTCAATTTTCTAGATTGCAATACATATATTTCACTAACTGACAGAAATTAGCCCTACAATATAGTATCTATAGTCTATTAAAATGGATATCAAAAAATGATTTATTCGTGTCTTATCTTAGGTTGTTATTGAATAAAAATTAATTACCTCCAGGAAAACAACATTTATCAAAACTGCTTTTCACCCTCGTTAAGAAGAACTAAATGACCAATGTTATTTTTGTGTTTTCAATTGTCAAGATTAATAGCAGGATATCACTCATTCCTCTTTAGACAGATAGCTCGCATATCAAAATGATTTAATCTGTATTAACAGTGGATGAAAATATTTCTAAGGATTCCATTACTTGCTTTTTCTTTCTGCAACAAAAGTAGACAATACTGATAGAAAAACTGAATTATTGTATTTTTACTAATTTATATTTTACTAATTCATATTTATTATATTTATATTGTTATACTTACTTTACTTAGTTACTGCCATTATTTATACATATTATTTATTTTTATATTTTATAATTTTATTAATTAATCTCCTTTTACATGTAATAATTCAATTAGTTCGTTCAATTACATTATCATTGAATTATTGCTTAGTAACTGCTCAATAACGAGATAATTGCACGATTGTTTTCAACAGGATCATACTAGATGCATGATGTAAACGTTCAGGAGGGTCGATTTATAATGTTAAAATCGAAAGACGCCTTGTGTGAAATACCTCTTAGAAGCAAACCTTCTAACTTAAAGGTTTCATTCACGTATCACAAGGATAACAACAATGTCCAGGAATTAAGCGCGAATCCATCGAACAGTTTGCCCGTTGGAAGGCATCAAAATGGACGAAATGATTCCACAGACATCAACGTGAGAATTTTCAGAATCGTTTCTGTTCTCTCTTCAAATTCAATTTTTATTTATTGTAACTGGACGGCGGATGTTCGTGCAAATTTAAAATTTTTATGAACACCTAAGTAGAGATATTACAACGAATGTCATATTCTATATATAATCCTTTATATTAAATTTCTCATAAATGATAAATGTGGACAATTTAACCCGTTGAGCTAATAATTTAACACAATATTATAACTGCTTCTACATGGCAGTGTAAATGGCCACAGAAAATATCAAACGATTATTTGAAATTTCTTTGAAACAGACCCATTATTGAAGAATAAAATTTTGACAATACGAATTGATCGAAACGAACTGTTGTCTTAACACGATGTTGGCTCTGAGTTCCATAACTGCGTATTAATATTATTTGTATAATTTATATTTTACCCTAATGTACTTTAATGTAATAATTTGCTTCTTTTTTTGCAGGCAATAGAGAGTTTTCACTGTGCGATCGGGCCGGTTTTAAGTATGGCCCGGATATTCGGTTTGTTCCCGGTGGCTGGAATCCGGTCTGTATCACCCTCGAAGCTTCGCTTCAAGATATTCTCGTTCGTCACTTTTTATTCAAGCTTCATCGCCGCGATGGTATTTTTCATAACGGTCTTATCGGTGTCTCACATGTTGAAAACTCTCAACGCTAATACGTTTCGTACACGTGGTAAGCAATACTCCTCCAATCATATTGTCATCTTCTATTTCTATTGGAAATAATTTATACAACTATATACTACACGAAATTACAAGTACTATTTGTTCTACTTCACTTTACTATATTTATATTATATTTCTTCTGTTTTAAGAAATTATTTACTATTTATATCATATTTCTTCTGTTTTAAGAAGTAGTTTACTATAATATGTAACTATTACATATGATCGTATTCTGTAATTGTTAGAGACATTCACAATGGTGTAGCTCTGCGTATATCATCCACTGATATACAAAATGAAATGAGTCTGTTTTCTTGTACTATTAGAGAGATATTTAAAAATATTCTTCGAGAGAAATAATTCTATTCGCCTTATAGACAGATCTATCCTATCTTAATGGTCTTCGTTTTAAACTAAACGATTCCGGTTGTACTCACAATGTGCCCGAGTCTTTAATATTTCCTTTAATGGTATGCTAACACTATGTTGCTCGTCCACACGCGATCGTCCTTTTGTGTCATCTGCAACCCTTCCTAACGCGATATGCTGTCCTTTGCGTTATGATAGATGCAATTCTCTCTTTCTCTCTCAATTTTTTGTGACATTAAAATCAGTATAAGTCAGTACGATTTCATTATTTCAATAATATTTTTATTCAAGCATTTCACCATCGAAATATTACATCGTTCACAAATAATATAGTATCTTCAGATTTCAATATTTCGGGAAATACTTTGTTTGCATGAGTAAAGTAAAATATGTAATTATTTACGAAGAATGGAAATAAATAGCTCATCTTTTCTTTAGCAGTGCGATAAGAAATATAAAATTTATTATTTATCTTATTCTTCATTAAACAAAAAATTGCTTTTGCGATTAAAAGAGTGCTTGAAAATTAAGATGATATTCGCATATGCAGAATTTACATTTACTATACGATAAGTCGTTTAAGTAATTTATATTTCTATGTTTTATTTCAAGTGACGTCGTGACTTCACGATGAAATTGTTTAACTTGCAATACATACAAGTTAAATATAACGATACGAAGAGTTTGTTGCATCATGCAATATCAATTTTCACTAATTGAACTTTATCAATGTACATACATCTATGTTTACTGGATAGAAATAGAAGAGAAAAAAATTACTACATAAATATACAATAGAAGACTGACGACAATAAAAATTGAATTTATTACTTTATGAAGTAAAGTTTATTTTAATCTCAATTTTCTACATTATAAAAGAGTTTTTTGTAAAAACAAAATATATATAGTTATTAAAAATTATATTCAAGACCAGATAAACAATTACATTGCATTTTAGGAGACACAGTTGTAACAACAAAGTATATAATTTCATAACATTAATTACTTAAGAACAATGATGATTTAGACAGGTTCAGTGATAATTGTTGAATGATGGCAATAAAAATTGGCCACATGCTTATTTGTATATAATTTTGAAATTTATATGTATTATTTTGTACATGTATTTACGAAATTTAGTATTTGTTAAAATAATATTTGATGAGAATTGCAGAAGAATCTTACAATGAATTATTAAGTATTAAAAATTATATTCAAGAAACAAGTAAACATTTCTTTGATAATTTTCAATAATTTTGACGTATCCAAATTATATTAATAATAATTTTTAAATGGTAACAGTAAAAATGGTCACATATTTATATATAATTATGAAATTTCGTATTTGTTGGAATAACTTTTGATGAGAGTCACAATGAAGTATTAGGAATTGTACTCAAG